CTTTTTTAAATGCCTTATAAAATTGATGAAATGAAGTGGAACATAATGGGAAAGAGATAAACTAATATGAATTGTGAAATCTAAATTTAGCAAATAAATGAAATAAAATGGCATAAAAACAAAGATGACTTGATTGAAGGTAGCATTGCAGTGCTTGACCTGTCTTCTCACCCAGACTGTAACCTTGTACCTGAATACAGTGTAAGCAAAATCACCTTCATGGGAAATTACAATTTCCATCTTTTTCGTTAATTCATTTTGTTCCCATTTTGTTCCTTTTTGTTACATCATTTCTTGTAAGCCGTTCAAATAAATCTGCTCAGAGGAGACTATGAAGTCTGTGAACTTGTGACACAGCAAGACTTGTGATTATACATTGTATATTACATGAAGGTGCTCAAAAATATTGCACCCTTGCATTCAAGTTAAATTTTTTATCCCAAGTTTTTGCARTCTCATTTTAATCAGGACTTAAGATAAAAGTTGTATCTCCAAACTGTGGCMTTATTAATTACATGTATATCGTCTACGTACAAGTATACATTTTGTAATTGTTTACAACATGAGTGGCTGTACGGTCAAAAAAAGCTATTTACATGTTACTAAGTGTTATGTGTAATCACAACCATCTAATTTTCATTTAATGTACAATCTTTAGAGGCATGTCTCCATCTGATGCAGAATTCCAGTACCTTGACAATGTCCGTAAGCTTCCCTTATATGGACGAGACCTTCACCAGGCGTGGGTAAGTTATATCATAATAAGGCTTGCCTTATAAACCAGACCATAGACCATTTACATATACAGGACGTCATAGTTTTATATCCTCAGTTATATGGTTTTGGTGTTTGATAATAGTCTAGTAATTTATTGCTATTCATCTGAAGTTGTGAATGAAAATCCTTTCCAGGAGTGATTATTATGCTTTCCAAATGACTTTTTTGTTGTCTTTGCAGCTGAACAATGTTAATGTGATTGAGTATATATAATATAAACACTCTGTATATTTGTTGTTCAGGATGCTGAAGGACAGGCTGTTACTCTTGGGATATCAGCTTGGGGTGTAGAGGTGTTTCACAACAACAGACTAATGCAGAGATTTATATGGTAAGGCTGTTACCGGTAATGTTTGTATTGCTCATGAGTAACAGTTAAGAAGTGAAAAATATTCTTCATCCATAGGCCAAAGATAATAACCATTTCATTYAGAAGCAAGAAGTTCTCACTGACTCTACGTGCTCCTAGTGAGGTGAGTGCTACAATACACAAAGTACAGTAGCCTGTGTGCACATCTGTTTCTTGCCCCTCCCAAAAAATCGATTTTTTTGAAGGGGTGAGAAACGGACGTACACAGGCTAAAAAGTACAGCCATATCTTGCCATAATGARCACAATACTTTAGTTTCATGCAATCTGTAATTATCTTTTCACCATGTTGATTTACCTAAAAGTATTTACAGTGCAATGGTACTGATGCAAACACAAATAGYACAAAATATGTTGGTGCAATATTGTCATATTTAATGCTAAAATAATTATTAGTAAATGTAATGACCAAATCTCAAACAATTTAAATAAAACAACTACACAGTTTACAGTGTAATAAGTTCTATTTCTGTAACATGTAATTCAGTACAATGAAGGTTGTAGCCATACTTTATGCTATAGTAAGGTTCACAATACATGTGCCTACCTGTATGGTACTAGTCAGCAAACATGCGTAAAGATAGCCCCCTCCTTCCCATTCCTTCTCAGCCCCCCTGTAAGAAGGCCAGGGTAAAGATGACTATAATACAAACTGTTTGACGGAAAGAAATTTAATGTATTTGTTATTGATTAATCATGGTTGTAAAGTTGAGAAACTGACCACGAACACAGTTAATTCTTGAAATTGTACTAGTCTATTTTGCATTATTTTTTGATTTAGTAAATTGTGTTCATAGCGAAGAAAGGTCATGCAAAGGATGCTCCACATTTTTTTTTTTTTTTTTTTGTAAATTGTGTTCATAGCGAAGAAAGGTCATGCAAAGGATGCTCCACATTTTTTTTTTTTTTTTTGCAAATTTGTACAATAACAGATTAAGTGTTCATGCTATTGCACATTGCTGAATAACTAAAAATTGTTTATAAGTTAAGATAATGTGGTCTGGTATTAGTAAAGTATTTTAATTTTTTCAACCAATAGGATGACACATACAGTGCTACTATAGTCAGTTTTCAGTTTAGTAGTAGACGTTCATCTAAAAGACTCTGGAAAGTTTGTGTGGAACACCATTCCTTCTTCAGGTAAGGACAAGAATTRAGTTTGATGCTTGACCCAGTACTTAATCAACGATAGATATTATGTTATTGATTTGAGGGATATTTATAGAGAGAATGTCCTATTTGATGTGTTTGCAGACTCAAAACTCCTGCACCAATCCAGAGCAGCTCAGGCTTCCTTAAACTGGGGTCAAAGTTTAGATACAGGTATTTGTATGATCYATACATTGTTAGTCTCAACTAATATTTTTAGCACTTAAAAGAAGGTATGAATGTCGTGGTTTTTAGACTGGTTCCAAAGGTTGTTGTTTTACTCCTTCAAAGGTGTAGCTATTCTCACCACCCCTCCTCCCCACCCAAAGTGTATGACAAAAAAATCCACCTACAGTACCAGGGCACTTGTAAAAATACTCCATTTTCGAATTTAAAGCCATGATAACCGCTGTTTTATTTGACAACAGATTCGTTTGCCTAAAGATCTTACCAAACACAAAAGAAAGTCCGAAAACATGTCGTTATTACATGTACTTACAATAACCTTGACAAATTGCATTTAGTTTGCCAAATTAAGACTAGCCCTGTCAAAAAACAGCGGTTATTCGCTTTCAATTTGAAACGGGAGTATCAGTCYAAGATATGTGAAATAGTAGTAAAGATTACTGGAGTCTTAAAATTGTTGTCTTTAATTTACTTACCAAACCGGGTTTTTTGTACATCTATRAAACAAATATTAATAGTGCGCTATACAATTAATTTTGTGAAGAAAAACGTGAAAAAATTAGTACAGAATGGGAAGGGCCAGTTTATATCTATTTGCACTCTGTGAATCTATTCAGCTAAACTAAATATATTTATTTATATATTAATATTTGTTCATTTGTTTATCTCAGTGGTCGCACGCAACATCAAGCTCGTCACAATGAACAAGTAACATTGAGAGAGCAGCCATCTTTTAACAGAGTCTCAAGCAAACGATTCTCAGCTAAAATCCTCGACAGTAAGTTTTTAGA